GTTGATTAGTAATGCTGCTGATTCAACTTTCAACAGTAATGCTGCTGCTGGTTTGTTTTTGAATGTCTGGAGCCTATCGAAGTAAACTGTAAAGATAAACTGTTTTTAAAAATCACTCTTTTCTCGAGAGTTTTAGAAAATTTCGCCAAAAGTGTGAATATACTTTTGAGTTTCACTTCCCTTGTTCTAAAAAGTTAGTTGAGAGACAGCCAACAACAAAAAAAACCCAACTGTGGATTGTCTTCTATTTTGAACCATAGCCTTTGAAATTAGTTATGCTAAAGAAGGTGACTGCATTTCCTCGCTAGGAACTCCTGGGTCTTGTGCTACGGTTTAAGGTATGATATTTTTCTCATCTCCTGTCATCATTTCAGACTGTTAGCACTTGGATTTACTTTGATAAAGGTGAGCCAGTGTTGCAGTTAGTGACGATAGCTGAAGGGGGATCTGGGAAACAACCCATCTCCCTAGAGCCAGGCAGAGCCGGGTTTGACTAAAGCTCCACTGGCTTTCTGGCATTGGTCAAGTCATCTTGACCTCTCTAGCCTCAGTTTTCCTGATCAGCAGAGTGGGATTTGTTATGAGGAGTAAAGATAATATATGCAAATTGCTGGAACAATTCCTGTCGCATATACATGTTAAGGAGTCAGTAAAAGGTAGCATGTGTGTGACATGGGAGTGAAACTACAGATCATTTTGGCTTACAGGACTTAGAGGTCTGGTGCTGCGAGCTGCATACTCTCATTTGTGCAGATTTGGGATGAAAAAATTGCAAATATTTGACTTGGAGCACACCTAAGTCCTGCAGATGCAGTGTGCTTGTTGGAACTTTGATTTGTTGCTCTGTGGCTGGCTGAACTTGGTGGAGACAATAAAACTTAGCTCCAAATTCTACAGTGTTACCCACAGACTGTGGTTGTTTTGAACCTATTCAGAGCTTATGCGGTGAAAGGGGTGTTTTAGGACATTAACGTAGCTCAGTGAGTTCTGTGTCCAGGGTTGAATCACGTGCAAAGCCTTGTGTAAATTTTCATGGTTAGTGCAAGCCATGAAGTGCTTGGTAGAATCAGTGAAGACATCAGATGCTTCTTTTAGTTAATCTGTTTCTTTATACAGCAGGTATCTTTGATTTTTGAAAACACTTACGAACATTTTTTTCTTAAAGAATTCCCGTTTCTCTTCTGATCATAAACTGCTATTAGGGCTATAAGTTTGAGTGCATTAGGCATTTTTGCTTTGGTGGGTGAAGGGAAGAAAAGCAGGTTCCCTTTACCTGTCAGATTTTGTCAGCTCTCCACTTTGGGCCTATACCTTTAGATTGTGTCCGTAGTTCCTAGCCCTGTTTTTACTCAAAAAGGCAGTTTTATGGTGAAATATGACATTATCTTTTTCCTCTTTTAAACATATTTCAATAGAGTGGTTACTTTGAGAAGTAGATTCAAGGACATGTATATAGGTTTATTCAGTACATAGAGCTTTTAAAATAGGACTTCTTGGGCTCTATAGAATTAAGTTACTCTTGTCATTTTTGCAAAATACCATTTTGCAGTGATAAGTCCATGAACCCACAATAGTTAGCTAGAGACTTTTCAGGTAAGGTAGACACATCAGTAATGCATTAGGATTTACCTCAAGGGAATCTGCTAAGCCTTATTTTCTTTTATTATTGAGCCACCTAAGGGCTTGCCTGTCAGTGGAATCAGTATTGGGTTGCAGTATTGGATTGTTTCAAGCATCATATCTAGAGAAGACAACATCCAGTAGAAGGTGGTGGTTAGTGCTTTCTTATGCTTTTTAAGAGATTTGGAATCTTTCTCAGAAGCCTTCCAGCTGACTTCCACTTAAGTCTCACTGTCCAAAACTTAATCATGGGTCCACCTCTAAACCAATCACTTGCAACGGGTGTGTGGACATATAAATAATTTTTATACAGTATAGGATGAAATAAATATAATAAAACCAGGAGAAGTATGGTGGAAATACACACAGGAAAAGTGATGGAGCTGGGGAATTTCAGAAAGTGTAAGTGGTGTTTGAACTGCATATTGAGAGATTCATGAGATTCAGTTGATATTGAGAGAGATGAAAGCATTCTCGGCTGACGGGGCAGTATACAAAGTGACTGGCATGAGAGTTACATGGCTTGTTCAGGGGACACTGAGTAGACAGACCCTAATAGGGTTTGTGGAAGGATGTGGAGGAAAATGAGGTTAGAAAGGTAACGTGAGGAGTCTAATCTTGAAGGAGGTTTAGACTTAATTTTTTGGCAGTGCTTGCCGTTGTAAAGGAATTTGAGGAATATTTAGCAAAAAAATAAATAAATAAATAAAGTACCTATTCACTGTGCAAAAGATAGAACCAGATAAGGTCTCTGAATTTGATTGTCTTAACAGTAATAAAAATACGTACTTTTCCACGTGTATTTTCCTGTTAGATATAGGAATGGAAATTCAGATTGTCTGAATCATCTTTGATACTTTTTTTTCTTTGTCCTTCACATGTGAAGAGGAAAATCTGTTGATTTCACTTTTTGGCTCTCTCTGCCACTGTTAGTGATGCCCATCTCTCTCGCTCTCCAATCAAACCCCTCCATTTTCTGTCCCTACTCTCCATTTATAACCTTACCACCGACTAACCCCCCGGGAAGATCCCTCTGGCTGCACCCGTGTCTTTACCTCTAAGTACGCTCTGCTTATTCACAGTGACAGCCCTACTCACATAGCCCTCTCCTCAGCCCGTCTTCTCAGTTCCTCTGTGCTTTTTCAGACCCCTCCATCCTTCAGGACCTGGCATAGCTCTCATGCTCTTCACAGGGCCTTCCATAGCCTGTCCCTTCTACATCTTTCTTGCTCTTTAAATAATTACATGGCACCTTTAAAAAATGACATTTGTTTTATTTGCAAATTGTAACTTATTATTTGTGTATAATTCTTGCTCCCCAAACAGGTTTGAAGCTTGTGAAAATTGGGGCCAATACAATCATTATTTGAGGGAATAAATAAATAAATGAGTATCTTCTCCTTATGTTAGATGGTAGTCAAAGCTTGTTAATGAAGAGTAGAGTGCAGGAATTGGACAGGAAACACTTAGTGTGTAAGCTTTTTTGATCTATGAACTTCGTCTTTATAATCAGGAAAAAACCAAAGTTGTTTCTCTCTTTGGAGAAGAAAGACCTGGACATTCATAAATAAACCACATGTTTGAGTAGCAGCAGTTTTAGTAAACAGAGTCCCATCACTTCCAAGACTGTGATAGATAACCTAGCCTTAACTCAGTGTGGTTAGGGTTACAACCCGGACCCTGGTATCAACCTCTTCTTTATGTTCAGCTGTACATCCCGAGAGAGGGAGGAGCCACTGGCTCAGTTTGCCAACATCCAGCATAGAACGCCCCTGTGGGGTAGAGTTCTCTCCACCACCTACAGAGTAGTTGGGCACTTTTGCCTTTAGTTTTGACACAGTTGTGGCATTGCTGCCTGGTTTTGT